AGAAGGGCCCCGATGATAAGGTTGAGACCTATAAGGCTCATCTTGTTGCGAAAGGGTACACTCAGAAAGAGGGAATCGATTATGAGGAAACCTTTTCGCCTGTGGCCTTGCTTAAACTCATTAGGATCTACTAGCTGTAGCTACATACCATGACTATGAGATTTGGCAAATGGATGTTAAAACTACATTCCTGAATCGATTATGAGGAAACCACAAGGTTTCATCGCTGCAGGTCAGGAACACATGGTTTGTAAACTTAATTGATCCATATATGGACTTAAGCAAGCTTCTAGTGTGTCCGGAAGTGTGTCGTTAAACAGTTCGGAACACCAGTTTAAACATTTATAATTTTATTCAGACTCTCAAATAAATAATAACGCAGTAAATGGGTGAGAACGGGTCGTATCCACAGGGAAGCAAGGGAAAAATAATTATGTACTTAGATCCGGGAGATAGAAAGCAGAGGGGAGTTATAGAAAAATAAAATTAATTAATTAATAATGGAATTCATTAAAACCAAATTCGAACAATACTAGGAATAACAAGTGCATAAAAATAAATAAATAAAAGGAATGAAATAAAAATGTCTGAGAATCCGATTAGAGGTAGAAGTCTCCGGATCTCTCGTTTGACCCTCGAACTTTTCAATCTAGGCCTTCCGTCTTACTTGGCCGAATATCAGATCTGCAAAAAAGAAATAAAATACAAATTAAATTTAATAAAAATAAATTGGTAGGAAGGAAAAATTAAACTGAAAATTACAAAATAGAAAATAATTCTAAAACTGAAGAAAAAATGGTTAGGATTCAAATCTAGAGGTGGCAGTAGTGGTGTTGGTGAACTGCTAGTAGGAACCCCTCTTCTTGCCTTGGCATCCTCCTATTCCTCTACTCTTGAACTTCTCAAGATCAGCCTTCCTTCTTACCTGGGTGAATTGCTCAACCCCTTCTACAGGGCCCCTAGGACCCTTTTTATAGAGAAGGGTGGACATAACTAGAAATAGGGTGAAGGATGGGGGGTATCAACTGAGATTTAGCAAAGTTAGGGATGCCCAAGGGTTTCTAATGGATGGCTAAAATGGTTTTGGGGTGATCTTATGGCTGAAAATGGAAGGAGAGGGCACCCAATATTATGTAGGGCTGAGATTTGGGTGCCCAGAAATGGAGGGTGTAGATTAGAACATCTAGGGTTAAAGGGTTAAGATTAAAAGAATATGTGGTGCCCTAGATTGAATGGTTGGGATATAGAATGGTGGGCGTGGCTGAGATAGAACTAGGGCGTAATTATCTGTTCCCTCCAAATGATATGAGTGCATGAGATAGGGAGATTCATATGATGAACTCTCTAAAGGCCTTCCATCATTAGCACGAGGATGGGTTCTTCAGTAATGAGGAAACGCACTAGAAAATGGGCTATCCATTTGCTGTTGGGCTTGTCTAAGTGTTTCATAAGATGATAGGGGCGTCATAGACCGATGTG